TTTTGTGAGACATGGGACCAAATCTTAGCCTTTGATCATATTTGATCTTGTGGCTCATAAAAAAAAGGGATTAACATTAATTAATCTAGCTGATTAGTTAATTAGGGGTAGATTAGTCACTAGGTTAAATTTAAGATGATCAGGTTAGCTTAATTTTCACGTCATCCAGAAATCATCTCACCTGTTCCTGTTTTCTACCAATTTATTCGATGAAACAACATTCCTTGTTCTTCAATTCAATTTGATCGATATTCTATCTCCAATCTTATATTCTTTCAACCGATAATCGATTTGATTTGGACATTGATCGAACGATGCTAAATCATAGCTTTTAAATTCACGATTTTTGTGTTGTTCGAGTTCATGTTCTTGATTCTTCTTCATCTGCAATTGATAAGTTGAGTGATTTTGATCAATTTTAACTTTCTGATCATCGATTTCGGTAGAGGTTCAAGTGTTCAACGATTTCTGCTAATCTTCATCTTCAACAATTGTTTACGATCTTTCAAGCCGTGGATTTTACTCAACATCATGAAATCGTCAATTGATCAAGGTTTGAGTTTTCATCGATTTCACTGTTAGTTGCATATAATGTATTCAATTTTTAACCTAGTTCATGAATTGAATCATCAAGCTATTATCGATTTCTCCAATTTTATATTTGTATGATTTGTGATTTCAGCAATCAAACATCATCTGTTGTTGAGACATCCAATTCAGCAATCAAAGATCATTTGTTGTTGAATTTGTTTGAGCTAGAAAACAATTTAATCTATAATATGTTATTTGACAATGCATCATATATTTCATTGTTTGTTTTTTAACTTTCATTCAATCATTATGTTTTTCAGCAATATGTCATCTGTTTTCTTTTGATTAACATCATCTATTTGCTTTTCATTAACATCATCTTAGTGATAAGTTCATGAGACTGCATGTTATTCTTATAGAATATTGTACATACATTGATATATCAATAATGATAACAGTTATGGATGATTTGGATATGCATGACATCGAAAACAATCATCTCGATGAAGAAAATCATCAGTTCGGTTCTACTGATTCAGAGATTTTTCATAACGAGGAAAATCAATCGGAAACCCAAGGTAATCATTGCTTTCATTGTTAGTTGCATATAACATATTCAATTTTTAATGTAGTACAGTTATGTATGATTTAGATATGAATGACATCGGAAATGATCATTACGATGAAGAAAATCATCAATTCAGCTCTTGTGATTCAGAGATTCTGCATAATGATGGAAATCAATCGGAAATCCAAGGTAATTCTGTAACTGATATCGGTTATTCTTTATAGAATGATGTTGGTGACAAGTTCATGTTACTGCATATTATGCTTATAGAATAATGCACATATAACATTGTGGTTTTTTATGATTACAGTCATATGAATGCAAATTATTCTGATTCTATGTTAACATGGTGGTATATTCTTTTTTGTAGTTCAAAGTGACAATGTTGCAGCACAATATGGCTCTTGCAAACAATTCATTGGAGCTGATGGTTCTTTATTTTGGATTCCAGAGGTTGAAGCTAATTGGATACCTATTGTGGGTTCAATTTTTAAAGATATCAAAGATATAATTAAGTGGTATAAAGGATATGCATTAAGATCTAGTTTTGATATTAGAAAATCAACAGAGAGGAAAAAGAGTGGAATCACAACTTCGAAATATTTTATATGCAATAGAGGGGGGTTGCCAAACACTTCTACCTTAGACACAATTAGTGATCATCATAACAAGCAATTGATAAATAGTAATTGTAAACGCACAAATTGCAAATCTTTTTTGCATTCAAAGTTATACCACATTCTTCAGAAGTTTACCTGTGGCGCTTTGAACAACAACACAACCACAAATTGATCAATCAAGATTGTATGCATCTTTCAAGAGCTAAACGTCAGTTGAATGTTGTTGATCAAGCTTTTATACATAAGCTTTCGAGTGCAAAGGTGGGGGAAACTACAACATATAGGCTAATGTGCGTTATAAAAGGAGGATGTGAATTTGTTGATGGACTAGAGATAGATTGGAAAATTTTTACAAGGGATATAAATTGTCACATCGGGGGCACTGATGCAAATTTGTTGATTACAAAGCTTCAGAATCGTAAAGAGAATGTTACAAATTTTACATATGAATACAAATGTGACAAGAAGCAGTTAAATGCTCTCTTTTGGGCTGATGACACTTCAAAACAAAACTTTGAGTTATTTGGGGACGTTGTTTCGTTTGACGCAACATATCGTACAAACAGGTATTTATTCTAGAATTATAAACATTTTTAGTTAAATATTATAATGGTATTTTTTTGTGTTTTTTAGGTATTGTATGGTATTTGTACCTTTTAGTGACATTGATAATCACAAAAGGTGCATCACTTTTGGAGCTGGTTTGTTGTGTAGAGAAGATACAAATTCCTATATTTGGTTACTTCGGTCATTCTTGAAGTGTTTTGGAAAAGCACCAATCATGGTCGTGACCGATCAAGATCCAGCAATGAAAAAAGCTATTGAGATAGTATTGCCATACACAAAACATAGATTTTTGTATGTGGCATATCACAAGTAAACTTCCATTGAAGGTACTAACATTATTGTTATATTCTTATCAGTATAAATATGACATTATTTTCAATATAAATATGACATTATTGTTCTTTTCTTATCAGAATATTAAATGAAATATTTTTTGTATTAGGATAATAGATTAAATGAAATGCCTTTTTATACTATATTATATTCTAACAGAATAATATATGAATTGATTTTGAAGGTAAGCTGGGAAACAATGAATGAATCGGATTTTAAGGCGGACTTCAATAGTATAGTATGGGACCCCAAAATTTTTGTCAATGATTTTGAAATGAGATGGGATGCATTAATGGTAAAATATAAGTTGCAAGACAATAAATGGATGAAAGATATGTTTGATTTGAGAAGCAGTTGGATTCCAACCTATTTTAAAGATGTACCGATGTCAGGTCTAATGAGAACAACTTCTCGGTCGGAAAGTGAGAATTCAGCATTCAATAGGGTATCACATCATGGTTATACGTTAAACAATTTCATGAATGCTTTTGAGTCTGTTATGGAAAGGCAAAGGAATAATCAGATCAAATTTGATTTTGATACATCTACTATAATTCCAATCATCAAAACACCTCTTGAAGATATGGAGAAACATGCATCTATGGTATACACCAGGACTATTTTTCTCATGGTGCAGAGGGAGATTCTTCATTCACTTGTTTCTTGTTCACAGAAGAGTGTTACATCAGGCGTTGTTTCTGACATATGCATTGTCAAACATAAAAGGACAAATATATCAAAGAAGAAGGTAGTAGTTGAGAAAAAAGAAAAAGTTGACATCGATTATGAATGGAATTTTAATACAAGTGAAGGTGATTTTGAGGTAATGTTGACATTTTAGAATATACTTAATATTCTAATAATTTTGAAAAAATATTCTAATTTTTCTTTTTTGAATATACTTATTATCCTAATACTTTTGAAACACGTTGAATTCAACAGAGAAGATCTAACGGTGAAATGTTCATGAATGCTTTTTGAGCGGTTTGGAATTTTTTTGTAGACACATCTTCTGTATTCTAAAGATTTATGACATACAAGAGATTCCGTCAAGATACATTCTTAAGAGATGGAGAAGAGATATTATCCCCACCACAGTTTTGAAAAGGACGTTTAGATATGGTGATTCGTCTAGAAATGTTGAGAAGGTTGCATACAAAGCTTTTTCCATGCTTGATCAATGCTTGTCTTCATTAAGTAATGATGACAAGAAGTTAGAAGAGTTCATGCAGAAGCTTGAAGTTTTTATGACTGATATTGGTGAACAAGGTTCAGACAAATTACCGGTTACAAAAGAAGCTCATATTGATAAACTTTACGGAACTACTACGAATCCTGAAGTTGTTGATGTTGAAAATCCACCTATGGTGAAGAATAAAGGTTCTGGTACAGGAAAACGTTTAAAAAGTGCTTTGGAGAAGGCTACTATTCAAGGTAACAAGCAATCAAGATCATGAAAAACATGTGGAGTTAAAGGGCATAATTCAAGGAAATGTTTGACATTGTTGAATAACTCCAAGGTACAAAGTGCATATTGTGTCTAAAAATATATTTCGATTTTTTTCGTATTTCAATAAAGTTCAATAATACCATATAGATAAAAGTTTGAATTTTTTAATTTGGATATTTTTCAGTTGTTTTGGTTTGTGATGATGTATGATACATTTGGATTGTGATGATGTGTTATACATTTGAGAACATATTGATTCTTCTAATATTTTCAATCTTTAATTTTTTGAAGTATATACGAATGATTGCAGTATAATGTTTTGTTATCAAAATATTATAATACAAGATTATGCATGTAAGAATGTTATATAGGTATATGCAACATCTAATATAATTCTAATAGAATACTGATGTCATTATACATTATTCTATTAGAATATTCTACCATGGTCATTAAGAAGTGATCATAATACCTACTATACATTAAGCATTAATCACCTAATAAACCATATCAAGTTTCTTACATAATAATAGGCATCATTTTTTTTTCTAATTTGTTCAAAATAATATAGATATTAGAAAAGGAATTGCTATTAATAATCAACTTGAATGTTCATAATAATCAACCGAAAAAAATAAATCCAAAAAAATTATTTTGTTAAGTGTTTTAAAGAATGATTGTTGATACCTTTTTTAATTCTTTTTCTATGCTGTGAGGATGAATCAGAAGAAGAATCAGAGTCGCTTTTAGAAGTAACAACGTTTTTTTTTTAATTTTTTCTTTGATTTTCCTTCATCTGCCTTCTTTTTCTTTTGATTTACAATTTGCAAATCTTTTATCATGAAATTTAACAATTAAAATCAATTAGAATATATGATAAAACAAAATTAGAATATTCAGAATAACTAACTTAGAAAAATAAATCCAAACATTTGTTTTTTTTTTTATGAATTATTTGAAAGAAAGTGTGTTCATACCTTTTTTAACCCTATCTTGACTCGCTGAATCTGTATGAAGAAAATTATCAAATAAAAACAATTAGAATATTTATTAAAAGCATTTAGAGGTTAATAAAAGCAATTATAATATTTAATCTAAAAGTAATCACAATTTATATCTATATCGATATAAATTTCTTTCCCTGTTTTTCTTACAGTTGCATTTGTTTGCACTTTTTTAGCTGCATCAATAACAACAAATTCCATTAGAATTCATATTAGTTTATGATATATAATCTGGTCACAGTTTTATAAATACATAATAACAAATTTCTAATTATCAATCAACATAAAATTCACTAGAATACAAATATTTTTTTTGGCTAAACACTATACTACAATCATAATAAGAGATTTGCGTTACCAAAATCTATAGTATTAGACAATTTATGGATCTAAATCTAATTAAATGATGAACAATTAGTTAGAATAACATAACATCTTTGCTGATTTTGATTAAGAATATTTAGATCAAATGAAATGGGGAATAATTAGAACACTATGTAGAGTTAACATTTAGATACATAGACTCTATATAAATCACACACTGAGATTTAGGTTTAGATTGTATGCTTTATAATGCTATATTCCATTACATCCTGACTTCGACATATAAATCACTAGTGAACTATCTCGATTATTAAACATTTATTGAATACACACAACGATTTAAAGTGAAAAAACTTTCTATAATAAGAACAGATAGGTTTATTGAGTAAGAACAAGAGGTTTGTAATATTATACTTACTTGGAACAGCTTTTGATACAAAATCAGAATCAGAATCTATAGAATGAGCCATTTGATTCGATATCAAATTCAAAATCAAAAGGTTTTTAATGTTCTAGTTGATTATCGAGTGGTTTTCGTGTAAGAATCAGAAGATGAATTTCAGGTATAATCAGAATCAGAGTCTGAAACAATGATCGAGATTTGGAAGCAGAACGATGATCGAGATTTGGATCAAATGGGTTTTAGGGTTCGTACCGGGTGTTTTTGTGTGTTGAAAGAAAAAGAATGCAAAATTCCATTCATGCCCCTCCGTATCTTGATCTAATCCTAAAGTTCCATTAATTCACAAAATTGCCACCGCCTATATATATATATATATAAACACACACACACACTAGCCGTTTACCCGCGCTAAGCGACGAGTGCGAATAAGTTTTTCTGAAATTAGTTTTAAAAGCGATTAATTCTTTTTCGCATATAGTTTACGACTTATAAACAAATATCAATAAAAATTATGCTAACAAATACGAAATCAGTAAAAAATAAAATATGAAGAGTTATGATTGTTTACAAATGTGTATGAACACATGATTGATTTACGTTATTAATCATGCAATACTTCTTTATACACCACAACCCCTATAAAATCCATCACTTATGCCATTCGCCAACGAATAATACTTTTTTTGCGACGAATAGTTTCTTTTCGGCGGACAACATATTTGTTTTTTATTGGATCTTATACTCTAAAAAATGCATATTGTATTAGCGAGATATATATATATTTTTACTATAAAGCAATGATGTTATTAACTGGTTGAGACTTTATTTGTTAATTATAACATTCCCTTTTCAGTTGATTTATTAATCTTGAAATAAAAATGATTTTCATAAAACATCATCTTAAAATAAGTATAACTATAAAATGATTTTATACAATGAAATTAGATTCTATAATGTGTAATTGGAATGGTCCCCATAAGTATGATCATTGAAACATTGGTTTCAGGTGTTTCCAAACACCTGGTGACACATAGCACGATTGATACAATTCTAAATACAAAAATTTTGCATAAGAATGAGATAATTGAAGTATGATAATATAAAAATTAATGAGGCACCAATAGCAAAAATATCATCCTAAAGAATACTATAAGTAATAGCATTCATTGTTTGGAAACTATGCTTACAACACAAAATTCATCTAATGAGAGAGCTCTTGACATCTAACTCAAGTTACTTAAATGTACGTTTAACAGAAAATAAGAAAGCAAACAAAAGCAGTAAGCCTAACCCCAAAATTCAAGTTTATTATTTACCAAAATCATTATATATTCAAGAGTCGAACCAAACAAAAAATACAAGCAAATAGCTTTTTCAACCAGAACCTTTACTTACTCTCTTTACCAAAAAAAAACAATATGCACACACATTTTTTACCAATAACAGCAACCTACTTACTATTTTTACCAAAAGTCAGCAATATACTTACGTTTATTTACTAATAATACAATTGTGCATACTCGTTTTCCTAAAAACATCAACATACTCATATTTATTTATCAATAATGATAATGTACTTACTCTTTTTTACCAAAAACAACAATATACTTCCATTTATTTACCAATAATAGCAATGTACTTACTATTTTTTTTTTTTTTTCAAAACATGAAACTACTAATATCAACAAATTTACATTCACCATTCCAAGGTCTGAGACCTAATTTCATTTGCTCATACAGGACTAAATATGCTCTTGTATATTATCTTTTATGAATTAAACTCCTAATAATATCAATTATACATAAAAATGACAGCAAAACATTGTAAATGATCAATAAAACAATACATAATTCCAATTGCCGAGGCAAGGATTAAAAATCATACTTTTTTGTTTGAAAACTCAAAAATATATCTTTGAGCTTTCGTCTGTTCATCTCTTCCTCTTTTCAACCATCTGTCATTTCCTAAATTAGTCTTCATAAAGGTACAAATCTCGTCTTGCATGTGGAAATTCAGAAAAAACCAAATTTAGGGCAAAAAACATAATTATAGAATTTGAAATCACAACTATTCTACAAAACGGGCATTTTCATAATTCAATAGGGAAACACACTTCCATATTCAAGACTACAAACAACATGGAACAAAAATTAACTTTAGATGGCAAAAAAGCTATATTACTTCAACAACATCTGAATCATTGCATAAGAAGCCATAATCAGAAAAAAGATCATTTAAAAACTTGGAAGAAAAAAACATAAATATAGAAGAAAACTAACCATTGGATGGTTTTTTTGGTCTTGGAAATGTCTTCTCAAAGTGATGATATTCAAAACCCTATAGAGGGACATCATTGATTCTTCCAAGTCCAATTTCTAAACCTACAACTCATAAATAAAAGCAAGGTTGTAAAAATCGTTCGACGGTAGCTCGACGATCGACTGGTGTTAAGGGATTAATCGGTATTGGCGGGGATTAATCGGGGACCATAGATTATTAATAAAATATTAAAATAGAATGCAGGTTGATTTTTTATTAATAAGAAAAAGAAAATATGTATGACTATGAAACACTAATTTAAGTATGCAAACTTCAATATAAATAGAATGCAGGTTGATTTTTTATACAAAAGCTTAAAGTGTAATCCAACATATTCAATCCTTAATTTAAGGCCAGTAGCTCCAATATTAACAATGCTACTGGATTTAAAGAGTGTGTGAAGCTATGATGCATGGAAACGCCATCTAGGGTGACGTACCCGTATCCGATACTTGGAGGAAACGGAAACGCATAGGAAACGGCCAGGAAACGTTTCCTGGACGTATCGGCGAAACTCGAAACGTATCAGGTAATTTTCCAAGAAGTTTCCGATTTTTTTTTTTTTTGCATGGGCTTTCTAGTCCAAATAAGCTAATGGATAATTGGGCTATCGAAATTACCCTACAACTATCAATATTACCGATCGGTGCCTCCCTAATTCGTTGGTTAATTTTAATTTACTATCCTTTAGACGTTTACCTTTACTGCTTGGTTGCTTGCGGCTTGCTGTCGACGAACACCTTGGTGACTGAGAAATCAGAAATCGATTATGGCTTCTAGATCTAGTTCTCAAGAACAAGAAACACAAGGATCAAGTACATTAATCTTTATATATTTTGGAATTTTTTTAATATATATATATATATATATATATATATATATATATATATGTGTGTGTGTGTGTGTGTGTTTTTTCATATTTTTATATTTCTGTATCTGTGCCGTATCCGTATCTT